AACTTTTCTTGTTATCTGATAACAAACAATATCATTTGGAAGGTCTTTGTAAAATTGCATTGTCAGATGAGGAAGTTATTCAATAATCTTCAGTTGAAGCCAAATTTTAAGGGCTAAATAAAAACTTGAATGAGCGCAAAAACTTGTGTAAAGTAGTAAAGTATAACAAACACACTTATCTGCTTGTAGGACACACTGAATAAGACTAAGAAATTCAAAGTAGTTACTTAGTAACTGAAGCATAACAGTTTGAAACAACTGATAATCGCAAAAATGGTGTACTACTCTGGTGATCCCCCCCACCATGAAAAAATGCACTAAACACCTTATCTACTGTAATTGTTGTGTGTTGATGAACTAGTTAAAGTTCTTACTTTGATTTATTAACTTGTCAAATGCGTCAGTTAAAGTATTTCAGTTTGATAATAATGTTTTACTTGAACAAAGAATATGTATACACAAAGAGGCTTAATAATATGCATACACAAGGAGGCTTAAATCTCCTCATACAGACTTTGAAAAGAAGTATAAATAGTATTCATCTAGGAAAGCAGGACAAGAAATGGATATGAGGTCTGTGTGTTGGCAGCTGAAGCTTTCTCATTAGGGTAATGAACAGCATGCTTGCCATGTATTCAAGAAGTTTGAGTCCTGTTGAGGGCATTGCTCATTTTTCATGTTTTCCTGCTTCAAAAAATCCTAATGACTCTATAAACACATGGCCAGGCTTTCACTGGAAAACACAACAGATATCCTCCCTGTTCTTCATTAAACTGTAGCTTAACACCAGTGGTTTGTAGTCAGGGGAATGCACGCTACAGGGCATCTGGCTTGTAGCTGTCCTTTAAGTAACAAATTTGTAACGGTTCATTGTGTCACCGAGGTATCTACTGCAGCTTGAATTTCTGCTGCAGATGCTGTGCGATGCGCCACAGCCATATGCCGAACATGGCAGTCTTCCCTCTTATTAGTAATACGTAGCCGCCTAGAACCTGGGATTTTTGAGGCAGTACCTTCCCTTGACCACTTCTGCCAGTAATCGTGCACAATGGATACATTTCTGCCAAGTCTTTCTGCAATATCGGGGAAAGGAAATCCACCTTCTCCTAGTCCTGTTACATGAACTCTTTCAAACTCGCTGAGCCGATAATGTCTTCTTGAAATTATTCTTGACTAACATCAACACACTGCCTCAAATCTGAATAATAAATACAGTCGATTCTGGTTAATCGGACCACATCGGTAAGCGATCGTTTTGGTCCTAATAACCAGTTGGTCCGATTACACAAACATGTCCAATGTTGTAAGATAAGACATGCTATATGTAGCAAACAGTAAAGGTGCATGTAAATCATGTACTAAAATGTAGTTATGAATTTTATGGTGTGGTATATACGTATGGCGAACCTACATGTACAAACAGCAAATACAGTCGGAACTTTTTTTCTTTGCGGAAATTAATTTAGAGACAAATTCTAAGAAACAATCTCCATGATACTCAACATGCGAAGTACAATAAAAACAATTTCTTACCAAGTTCCAGTCAACATTTGAAGAACTTATCCAATGTGATCTGACACGTGAACGAAATCTGCCACAAACATCTAATGCAGCAATGGGACTGCCTTCATTTCCCTCCTGCATGAAATGCTGAAGCAAAGTTTCAAAGCATTTCCTCGCATCCTGTGTTGTCACTTGCATCATCTTATTAGTGGCAACATCATCATCACTTTCTTGGTCTTCCGATGCTGTCGTTTGCAACTCAAGCAACGATTGCAGTGTCGTAATCTTCATTTTCACGTAGCATTGAAGCTCTTTGTCAATGGATAAAAATTCTTCGCAATGTTGTACCTATTGAAGTTCCACATGTAAATCATCATTTTCACTTTCAATGAGCATGTCCACATCCATCTCCAAAATAAGTGCTTAAAGCCACAGTGAGAAAAACAGTTCTGAATTGTCTCACTGCTCACTTTTCGCCAGCTGTCGGCCACAAATGTACTGCTTGTAAGATGTTGACTTTTGCATTGACATCGCTGGCTTTTGACGATGAGGTCAGCAAACTTTCTTCAATTGCTTCAACGATGTAATTAACCAACCTTCCACGAGAAAGGGTCTTCAAATTTTTTATGATGCCCATGTCCATTGGCTGGACCAAAGCTGTGGTCGTGGGAGGTAGAAATTCCAGTTGGACGTTCATCAAGCAATTTAAATGAGAATGTGCTGCACAATTGTTAAGAAGGAGCCGCACTTTTCTCAACTGGTGTTGTAGCTCTCTGTCCCAATCCTTGAGCCCTTCTTTAAAAAGTTCAGAGGTCATCCGCGCATTTCTGTTTTCACGATACACAAATGGTAAACTCTCCATCCTAAGTCCTTTAAAGCAGCGAGGCTTAGTGCTTTTTCCTATAACCAACAGCTTCCTGTTGTCCATTCCTGACATGCTTGAGCAGCACAAAACAGTTACGCGATCCATCGCTTTTTTGGAGCCAGAGAGTGTAACATGTTTGTAACTTAACAAGCCGTCTGGTGTAGCACGAATACAGCCCAGTCTCATCAGCATTGTAGATGTCTTCTGCTGAAAAATTTTCAAGAAGCTCGGGCAGTTTTGTTGATTTCCGTTCTTCACCATTTGCACTATCAGCACTTTCTTTCTTGCCATGTGCTTTCTTGAATTTTATGTCATGTGTAGATTTCTGTCGAGACAACCAACCATCCATAGCTTTAAAGTCGTCGTGGCCCAGCTTTTTAGTGAGTTGTTCTGCTTTGCATTTTAACATTGGGCCGCTTACTCACACAGATCGTCCAGTAACAATGACAAACCATTCATTAAGGGCCTTTTTGACATCTGGGTCCTTACTTTTACGTTTCCGCTTTTTGGAAATTCCTCCTCGTCCTTCACATTGTGCCCATTCTTCTTGCAGCTCATTCTCTTGTTTTATCAAGCGCGAAATTGTAGTCTTTACCAATCCGGTTATTTTCACCAGCCGACACTGACTAGTGTTTCGTAGTTATTGCTTGATCTTATCCAGGAAACTAATTTTTTAAGTCCCGTCGTGGCATTTTGGCAGGGAAGACAAGACACATGCACAGTTCACTGACTAAAGTGGTCTGAAGAAATCCTGGTGTTTCGGGGTCAAGAGGGAGATAAAATGCTCACCATTCAAAGCTTTGGCACTAAAATCATCCCAGAAAGGTGGTGAAATGAAAGCTTTCTCGTGTAAACTTTAATCATGATTGATAGACGGGAATTCCTTTCAGCTGGAGCCGGACGCTCTATTGTTCATTTCCTCGAAACTCGGAGGCGCAGGTCAAAGAAAATGGTGTGCGTGTTCACCTCCCACCAGTTTTGCTTTTGTCATGCACGTTAAGGAACTCCTGACCTTTGATAAAGCATTTTCCTGGGAGCTGCAATTACAGATCCTCCCATATGTCGTGGACCACCTGTACATCCGCTGTACACGGCTGACTTGTGGCTTCTGTTTCTTATTCGCTCTCACGTTTTTTGGTACGATTAAATGGAATTTTGGTCCAAATAAACAAATAATATCAGGCTTATTTACATAGGATTTGTTTCAGTTCTTTAGGATTTGGTCTGAAAAAGCGGCTGGTCTGATTATCTGGTGGTCCGATTAACCGGATTCGACTGTAGTACTCGTGAACTTTTAGCGTATATTTAATGCAAGCATGATTTGCATGTTCATAGTAGTGCTACCAGCATGACACTTATGTGCCTATTTCGAAATTAGACTAGATGTCATCTTTCAGATGTATAAACATGCCTATCAAATTTCGTTTATCTAGTACAACTCCTTCTTGGTGTAGGGATTTTTTTTTCTCATTAGTGTTTGTTTATATATGCAGTACTGAATCCAAGATCTTGAATCATTAACTTTAAGAAGGCATTTTTCCTTTAGTTATTTTGCAACAAAATAATACACTCTTGGAGAAATTTCCAAAAAGAGAATCGTAACTTTTTTTGGTACATTTCCATTTTGCCAGCGCAAGTGATAAAGTCGCCAAAAATGGTACAACTGATACCAAACGAAATATCCTTGCTGGTAATCTTTTACACCTTATTTTGAAAACAAGTTGTAGCTATTTCTTATCAGATTGATTGTTTCTATCAATACTGGCATATAATTACATAGAATTTTTACCTAGTTCAATTTTATACCGTAACGCCATTTGCGGTAAGTAAGTCAATTAGGATGCAATCACACCACTCACCCGAAGGCAAAAATATACAAAAGGCAAAATCAAGGGTTAAAATCATCAATTCTAATGAGAATACACTAGCAAAGTAAAGCACTGTGGTTTTACATAATTTCTGAGTAAGCTATTCGTACTAATTGAAATAATTCTTGCACTTAAACTTGTATTCCAAGTTAAGATTTAACTCGATATTAATGTAAATTTTTGTAGCGTAGTTTACGTGAGATGAGATCACTTGGGGTCACGTGATAAGAAACTGTGAATCAGCTTGTTGACCCATGAAAGCATATTAAATTCTTAAATTAATGTCTTTTTTTTTTTTTAATTTTAAGCGATATTAAAATGTTCATGCCTTAAAAATAAAAATTTCTTAGAACTAACGTTTGTTAACATTTTTTATGTGTATAATGTGTGTTGTCACCAATAAAGTCTGCTTGGCGAAACTGAAAAGTACCCTTTTTTTTTTATATAAAAGCCATTGGTTTTGGAATACAACGAAAATAATGCATATAAAAATGGTAACATTGGAAACCGAATATTTGTCGTGTGCATGGTTACCACAGTTTGATGTATTCTGAAGCTTTTGTGATTTCTATTAAGGTGGTTGTGATAATACAGGAGTACTTAATTATCTTTCTTATAGAATACCTTTAATTTAATGAACCTAAATATGTGAGCCTGTGTATAAATCTGTTTTCCTTCTCTTGCAAAACTACTTCAGTAATGCTGAGTCATTTTATATTAGAATCAGTTTGCTGTGTACTTTATGTTTATATCTTTTCTCAAAGGTACTTACATCAACAGATGCATGAGAAACATAAAGGCCATGAATCTATGCATGCATGGATGATCCTCATTTTGCTCATTACAGTTGTTGTTTCACAAGTTCTGTTAGTTGAATGGAAAAAAAGATATAATCGTTCTTATCAGGTAAATAATAATTTTTGTTGAATAAATATTATGCGATTTACAATTTTTTGCTTTCAATTGTATCAGTATGATAGTATAATTCAGATTTTGTTTTATGCGTAACTGAATATTAGGATTTCTTGGGATAATGTTTCTGCTTTATTATTTTAAGCAAATCATGAAAAATTTGCTCAGACTAAGAAAGACCTAAAATCTTCAAATCTTTTGATTTTTTGTAATTATCTTTGTTTCATACACATTTAAATTTGTATTAAATATATATTGTCAATTTGTGAATAGCTATGAATGTAAATATTTGTGAACAATTGTTTTTCCCACAGTTCATGTAGGATCATGAATTGTCGCAATATCATGACGTGTTAAGGAATTGTTAGTGTTATGTTTTAAAGATGCTATGAATTATTTCAGTCGTTGGAATTTTTAGTTTTCACCACTTGTTTAGGAATAAAAAAATAATAAATTTATTCGTGTTTTGAAAAGAGGCCACAGCGAATTTTCATGATCTTGTTTGTTAACTGTTATGCAAGACATGTCTCTAACAGACTTTATATAATTAATGCTGTCATTTTAATATTGTGATGTTATTCAGGTGTATGAACTTTTAGGTAAATGGAAAGATAGTTTAGAGGATTTATGAACAAGACTGGTTATTTAAAATTAGGCAAAAAAAGCAACTTCAGTTATATGCAGATATTGAATAAAACTCTTTTGATTTCAAGGAGGATTAGTTGTAGGTTCTTTTTCTTCAAAAGATTAAAAAAAAAAAAAAAACTGCTTGAAAAAATTTTCACTGAACTGACACAGTCTCTTCTATGTATTCATTCTTCCAACGGATAAAGGAAAATGCAAAACATCTTTGGATAGCTGGGGATCTTTGGGATAGCTAGTTCACCAAAAAAGTGCCAATAAGCTAAGAAAGCTTCAAAACAATTTTCTTGATTTTTATCCTTCCTTCACATAAATTCAGCAAGTTTGGATTCCAGATGATGTATTTTACAAAAGTGTTTTGATATTTCAGTCATTAACTTCAACTAAAAAGTAATCTCTTGTTTTGTTTGATCCCAAATATGTGCTATTTAGGTAATATTCGTCTGGCAGTGTATTTTCTACAAACATTTTTTCTTTTGTAGAAAACTGTATTTTCTGCAAAATACCTCCTTATTATTGTGGTCCCCAAGATTAAATTGCTAACCAATCGAGATATCGAAATCCCGCCACAGCTTCATATACCTCACTACATGTTGCATTTTTGCTTTTGCTGTGTATTCTTATATTAGCAATGTGTGGGTTTTTTTTTTTTTTTTTTTTTTTTTTTTGTAAATGTGCTGTTAACAATCTTTTAATTCTCCAAATAAAGAGCTGGATGCCATATCTTTTTTTTTTTTTTTCCCAAGAAAGAGGTCTTTTACCTGACACCTGAGCATGCAAAAATGGCCACAGCGTGAAACTATATGTTATAGACGAAACCATGTGGAGGTGCAGTGTTAAAAACTTGAAAAGAAAGAACGGCCTGCATTTTTAAAACTGGTTCAGTGTTTCGTGAATATCATTCATCCCCGTTAGTAGAGTTATGTATTCTTCAGCAGAGGAGTTGACATCCATCAAATGTGAAAATAGCTTAATATGTAAATGCTGCAATTAATTGGAACACGTACATGCAGGAAGTGGATTCCCTACATCTGATGCAAAGATTCAATGGGTGAATTCTCAACCCCTATAAAATAGTTGAAAGTTTCTTCATCCAATGTAAGAACAACAGTGGCAGAGCACTCTCACAATAGTGGCAAAGTACTCTCACAACAGTGGCAGAGTACTCCTATAACAGTGGATTTTTCGAGGAATGTCTCTGGACGATGGTGAGTGCTTTGTCATTCAGATCTCGAATTGAAATGCTAGTGCACTTACAGAGAAAATTATTCAACATGTACAAGATGGATAAGCGATCTATTAAGACTCGTGCAATAAAATGGAGCAACTTGAAGAAAGTGGTTACAGTCACTTTGCTGTGAACTATGAGTACATTTTGTAGATCCAACAAAACAGGGTTTCACACCCAAAATGTGGAAAGAATGTGGAGTTTAGCATATGGTGTAATAAAAATAAAACAGGGCACAGCTCAACATCATTTCAAATCATATTTTTTAGAATTTAGGAAAAAATTAGAAATTAGGTGGAGAAATTAGGAAAAAAATTGTTTTTGATCTGAGATGCTGAGAGCAGTCTATCGTAACGATTATTAAAAATGTTCTTTGGAAACAACATGTAAAAATTAATTTTATTATAGTATATTCTGTGTTTTATTTATATCTTTGTGCTTCATGATGTAGCGAGATAGCTTGATTGGTTAACAATTCAGTCTTCAGGGCCACCGTAATAAGGAAGTACCAAACAAAGACACTGTTCTTTAATTTATATGATTCTTTGATTTGATCATTAGCATGTTTGATCTGTTGTTTTAAGTCAACTTCCCTCGTGAAGTTATTCCAATTAGTGTCTGTATTATAAAAAATATTTGGGTACTTTTCCGTTTCGCCGGCACAAATCTCGCCAAGCAGGCTTTATTGGCGACAGCATACCGTATACAAGTATACACATAAAAAATGTTAACAAATGCTAGTTCTAAGAATTTTTTATTTTGAAGGCATAAACATTTTAATAGCATTTAAAATTTTGTAAAAAGACAATAAATTGTATGAACAACATGAAATGGAGAAAAACATTCACTGCTGTGGGGTGTAGGAAGAAAAAAACACATAATGTGAAGTCATGAAAAAGAGTAATCATGAACTTAAATTATGAAATAAACAGTAGGGAAAGCACAAAATGCAGGGAAAATAAACAGTATGCTATTCAACAAAACAGAATGCTGTGTGCACTATATACAAACACATTTATTACAGGGTTCGTAGCAGTCCTTACAAGTGCTTATAAGTTCTTACATTCGAAAATAAATTATGAAAGCCCTTATAGGTGCTTACTTTTTCTCTTAAAGCACTTTTTCTTTTGTTTTTAGTGTTTTTTTCCCTGCGTCAAAGCCGCAACTAAATAAACAACTTTTTCTTTCTTATCTGGAGCATCAGATTGTGAATCATACTTCCAGAAATAGCTTTCTCCGCATTAACGCTGTCTTTAACCTTTGATTCACGCGAGTAGACAGGTGCACGTTGTTCTGTTGGTCAAAGAGTTATGAAAGGGGTAGAAAATTCTGGTATATTTCACATACTTTTCCTCCCACCCACAGACTATAAATGTTCCAAATCCCACGTGGTCAGTTCATATTCATGTTTATTACAATCATTATGCTTATATTATAAGCATATATATGAATATTTATATTTGCAGTAAGTGTTGAAGTATAGCTAAACTTTAAAAATGGGTGTGTTTTTAACACAGACTAGCTTTCTAATGAAGAATATTCTGAATGGCTTAAACAAAGCGAAGATAATTGTAAGGCCATGTGTTCCTGGTGTAAAGCTGAAATCAACATAGCATGTATGAGAGTGTCTGCTTTAAAGTGTCACATGGATCGTAAGTAAACCGCAGTATATGGCGCAAAACAGCACAAAAGCATACGAGAAAATGAAAAATATATTGGTGCATTTTGCCCCAAAAAGGTCATATTGCAGAAGAAGAATGCGATAACATTCTTTTGGAATATTCTGATTTCATCGAAAATGTTGTCCAGCCATACCTTACAGAATTTAAAACCTATGATGTGAGAAAAATTAGATTAGATCCTATTTTGCACATATTCATTAATGGAAAATACTTCAAGTTGTGGGAAAAATTTAAAATGATCTTTATTCTTTCCCATGGGCAAGCCTCTGTTGAACGAGGATTTAATATCAATAAAAATATAGTAACAGAAAATTGGGGAATTTGTACATTGCCCGGCGCATAGTTTGTGATTATGTGAAACATGCTGGTGGGATACACAATGTGTCAATTACAAAAGATACGAGAGCAGCAGCTTCATCAGTTCATTCACAGTATCAGTTATATTTGCAAGAGCAGAAAGAAAGAAAGGAAGAGAAAAAAAGAAAAGCAGCAGAATCAACAAATGAATTGATTTCTCTTAAAAGAAAGAAAATTCTTAGAGAAGTTGAAATAAAGCGAATGAACTTGCTTAAAAGGCTGAAATTACAAAAGACATTAATCTTTTAAAATAAATCCAATGAAATGTTAAAAACTATTTGTGAAAAACAATTGTTTTTTTTTATGTTGTAAAGTACTTTGCATGAATATAATAAATACAGTTTATTATTATTTATTTTTTAAACTGATATTTCATTCTTAAATCTTGTAATATAATTTGGTTTTGCATAGGGTTCTTTCCCCCTCTCTTAATGTAAACTAGTTCTATAAATTGAACTGTTATTTGCAGTTAAAAAATAATTGTTTCCCATGGTTGAGTAATGCTGATTCTCTCTTTAAATACTAAATTTCTCCGATTTTTAATTGCGGTTAAATCTCATTTTTATTTTAAGGATATGCAGTAGTGTATATATGTAATTAAACAGGTGCTTATTTTTTTCTTAAAATGTGCTTGAAAAATGCTTATAGGTGCTTATTTTTTCTTAAAATGTGCTTGAAAAATGCTTATAGGTGCGTATTTTTTTAACTAAAATGTGGCTATGAACCCTGTATTAATATGCCACATTATGATGAAACATTTATAAGAAATAGCAATATTATTGCAAAGGAAAAAAGCAAAATTTATGTGGTAAAAGCCTTACTAACTGGCATTCATCTAGTTAGAATATTTAAGAATTTTAAAAAAAAAAAAAAAAAAAAAAAAAAAGAAAAGAAGAAGAAGAAAAGAAAAAAAAAGGAAAATAAAAAAAGAAACCCCTGAAAAATATAGCAAAGGAGAGATTTGTAATGCTAGTAATATTATTAACACGTATGTATACCTTGTCACCAAATAGTGTAATTTAGCACCAGTAATTCGCAACACAGTTATAGGAAGTTTGTTTTGGTTTAATGCAAATTTGATTAATTCTCAATAAGCCAATTTAATTTTTGTAAAGAAAGATATCAGTTCTTTTCTCGTGTTTTGAAAAAAATTGTTAATATTTTGAACTGCATAAAGTGGAGCGTTTTCAAAGTTAAAGGATCCGGACGTGATACCCAACTTTGAAAACAAATAACTGATGATGTAACACAAAAAATTATTAAAATTGCTGAAGCTTATTATCTGACTAAGCAAAGAATGTTCTCCTCATTTAAATTTTTACTGGAATTTCATAATAATAAAAATGCATTCCTTTTTATGACAGCATTATGGGTTTCTTTTTCCAAAATCTTATATAATTTTAAATGTAGGCTTTTGATACTCTATTAACAAGTAAAATGATTGTTTTTATAATTTTAGAGCAAAAATTTTTCTGATTCATTTGCGTTTTGAAATGTCCATTGCATACTGTATATACTCAGCTATCCAGAATTCAACATTTTCCGAGTTTTCCGGATAGTCGAGCTTCTATTATATTTATTTTCTGTCTGAAGTTTAAATTTTGGTATTTTCAAGGCATTTTTGTTTGTTACACTTTGTCATTCATATATACTGACAACTAAATATTAAATTTTCAGACTGACTTTTATTTTAAATAATTCTAACATACTTTATTAATCATTAAATAATTTGTTTTAATTTAAGCTATACGTAAACAAATACAAAAACTTTCCAAGTTGGACTAAATTTGCAGATAAATAATGACGAACAAGTCTTTTTCTATTATTTATTTAGCACATAAATTAAAACACATTTGTATTTAAATAACTATAAACTTCTTTTTTTCTTACTCCAGCTTAACACTTGATGATGTTTCAGTTCTGAAAAATTTGTAATTGTAAAGTTTGCGTTGTAAAGTAACCACAGGAAAAAAAATTCAAAAAATTATTTCTGCCATGGATAGTAGTTGCTCATTGGTCTGTTGGTTTCCTATTTTAATTTTCAGCTGAAAAAAAAAAAATCTGTTAATGATATAAATGCATTCCAAAACAAAGTAATGATTTTTAGTACAAAAAATCCACAACTGAGCATATTTAAGTTTTGAAAAGTACAAATAAAAGTTAATCAAATCTGATCTTCAGATCTTTGAAAAAGATTTTATATCAGATTGTAAATTAATTCATTAAATAATTAAATTTCTTTAAATCTTTACAAGTGCATAATTGAAATGTATGTGTGGACTGCAAGTTGGAGATTACTGATTTAAGTAATATTATTCCCCAGCAAAGTTTTAGTAAGAAGAAATATTATTTATGTTTTATGGTCAATAATTTATTTCATACAATCATATAAATTGTAAAATTCTGAATTTTACCTGTTGAATATGTATGTTATTAAAATGTGAGAAAGAAATTAGTGCGATTCCGGAATTGACAATGTTAACAGGGAATAAAACAGTGTTAATTGGTGAATAATCTTTTGTTAAACCCTCAATTTTAAAAATATTTATCTACTATATTTAGGTGCTGTATTTGTATAGTTAAAATTGCTATTGATTGGAAGTTGTAGTTATCATGTTTTAAATGTGGTTTACAAAAACTTTTGACCTACTGTGAACTAAATTTTTGTTGCACAGAGACTAAAAAATTATTTTGAAATTTTAATTTATTTAAATGTAGTTACCAATATTATAGTGAAATACTTCATGTGAACATTTAAAGTCAGTGAATAACTGGTACAAACGGTGCAGTTGCACCAAGCTGCTGAATTTAGAGGTGTCAAAATTTTGGCATGGACCAGGTGATGAAAGCCTAGTACTATCAGGCCAGCTTAAAAGCAAATTCTAGATCATTTTACAAGTCTGTTTTTTTCCTATTGTTTCAATAATTTTCATTTATTATTATATTTCAGAGAGTGTCTCTACTGGCAATGTGGCTTATACCTGTTATAATTTCTGTAAATCATGGTTGGATACGTTTTATTATTACATGGGCTATTTTCACTATTCTTACTTGTATAGTGATAAGTCGTGCTCTTCAGAAACCAATTGCTGGTATGACACCAAGGTCTGTAAATTTTCTTTTTCTTTCCAAGTTCTTACTGCTCTCTATGTAATATTTGTTAGTGTAAAGTTTTTTTGGTGCTGAAAGAGCTTGATTATCTAGAATGCTTGAAAAATACAAAATGCTCAGCACATGAAAATTCTGGATACTTGAGCATATAAAAATTGCAGTTAACGATATTTCAAGTGAATTGAAGAAATTTATGGTCTAAGAATATGAAAACAACCATCTTGTTTGTTATAAACTTGATTATCAAAAGTGTTCATTTAAAATTATGCAAGATTTTAAAAAATGCATTTCAGACATAAAAGATGCTATATTTTGTAGATCTTAAACGTATAAAAGTAAAAAGTCTTATCCAATTATAAAATCCCGTCAATCTATAAAATTGATGATATTACCACATTTGCTCTAATCTTTCCAGCAGAAGTTTTAAAAAACAGATCATTCTTTAGTTAATTAGTTAATCAACAAATACAAGTAAATTATAGCATATAAAAATTTTAAATCAATTAAAATTTTAAATCATAATTTTTCTCATTGCCTTCCCATTGCGTGTTCATTTCCAAATAAAGTAACGTATTGTGTCCATTAATGGACACTTTTTCTTGATGCCAAGATGCTGTAGTTTTGAAAGTACTTCACTTCTTGCTGTTCCAGCATTTTTTTAAAATGTAAGGATAAAAAATAAACAGCAGTTAATTTATACTCATCTTCACAAAAACTACTAAACAGGCTTACTGAGAATTAATCTGATTACATAAAACCAAAACAGAAATTCATATGACTATGTTGTAATAGAATGTTTATTAATTATTGGTGCTAAATTGCACTGTTTGTCTAAAATGTTTGGTGTCAAGAGTAAGTCCTACAGTAGACAGACTAAATGCCTGTCAGAAACTTTGTAATCTTACTTAGGTTCCTGTGTCATACTAATTTCTCATTCCTCTTTCTGTGAGGAGTGTCTAGTTCCAAAGAGGAATTTTTGGAACAGTACGATTGATATAACAGTGAGAGGGAGGATGTAATCAACATTTAAAAGAGAGCTGTGTAATTGTACTCACATTTAAGATATTATAAGCAGGATTTCGAGTTGTAGTGTTGTTGAAGGGCTTTACAAGTCTGTCAATTTGTTTAATTTTTCTTTAGAAAGGAAAATCTGAAATTTAAAAATATGGTTGTTTGAATGCTGGATAGTCAAGCTTTAACTGTACTCTCTTGTTAATGCAGCCACTGTGCCTAGTTACCAAACTGGCAAACCTAACTGCTCAATCTGTAATGTAAAAATTTCAAATTTTACATTACAAAAGTTGCTTTAACTAAGGAAGTACCCCTTTTTTAAAAAGTTTCAGTGTTGTAATTTATATTTAAAATCAGGCTCATTACTTTTTTTTGTTTAAAACAGAAATTTACATGTTTAGCACTTAGTTTATTGGGATAATTAAGTTTTTTAAAGTATTTCACAAAGAAGGAATAACAACTGTAGAAGTATATGAAGGTGTATTTACAAAATGCCATAGCATTACAGGTAAATTAAAATATGAAAGTTTTTAACTGTAGAATATATATGGCTGTAACAAAAATTTTCCACCCCCCCCAAAAAAAAAACGTTTTTAATAGAGGGAAAAAACATGAAAACGAGTAGTAATCACTACCCAAATCTATGCCAACGTTTTGGTAGTTTTGGGCCCAGAAACTTGGTGGCCGCGAGTCCAGAAACAGATCTACTTCGTTTCAGATGTCCTGTGCAGATTCGAAGATAGCAGCAGCAAGATGTAGCATCAGGTGTGAAAAAAGTAGAAGTCCGAAGGAGTGATATCAGGGCTGTACGTTGGGTGTGGCAAAAGATCCCGTTTGAATCTGTACAGAGTTCAGACATTGAATGCAGACACATGTGGTCTTATCCTGATGGACATTACCTTTTTACGCCGGAACTAAGTTCGACATTTTTCCTTGCCAGCAGCATCGACATTGATTAGCATCTAGCTATAAACCTTACTGTTGAGGGTTTTACCTTTTTCCAGGTACTCTTCGTGGATAATACCACGGCAATCTGACGAGATAGAAAGCATGATCTTTTTGTTAGTTAAATTGTGCTTTGCGATGCTGCTGATGGGCTCACCGGGAACAGACCAACCTCCTTTTTGGCTTGTGTTGTTGAAGTAAATCCCCTTTTTATCACAAGTGATGATCCAGTCCAGAATCTTGTCCTTGCATTAGTATTCGAGCAGATTAGTGCAGGCCCGAGCATGTCTGTCCTTATCTGCTTGAGTCGGCTGATGTGGCATCCAGCGATTGAACTTATATGTCAAGTTTATGCCATGCATGGTGCGACTAATGGACATGACATTAACACCTAACTCCTTAGCAAGCTCTTGAGTGGTTGCATACTGATCTTCTTCCACAATTTCTTGCAGGAGGGACCTCATCAACATCAGAAGCCCAGGCAGAGTGCTCTGCTTCTTGAATGTCATAGTCCTTGTTTTTCAACATTCGTTACCCAACCTTCACAGTGTCATATGATACAACATTAATGCCTAAAGCTGTACACATGATTTGGTGACATTCTGTAGCTGACTTTTTGCAACATAACTGAAATTAAGATGAATCTAATCTGGTAGCATGATAGTTGCATTTCAGACACCTTGTACTCAATGATAATGATATTTTTTTACAAATTTCACAGCATAGTTTTCTAAAGCAAGTGTCTTTCTTTCAATTGCCAAAAATAGTTTGACAAAATATGATTAAAGACGGCAATGCGAAATGTTTGCGCAGACGATATTTCCGGTGGCAGGAAACTTTCTTTAAAACCCGATACTTATTCCATGTTTGTATGAAACATATTTCATATATGTGTGCATTGGACTGATAGAAAGAGTGACAGGAGCTAAAATGAAGGAACATGAACAATACATGCATTTATTTTAGGAATTTAAATTTTTGCAGGAAATGTTTTAAATTCACATAAGAATTGATGAGATGAGAGTTTTGAGAAAATGGTGATGTCATAGATGTCTTTATATATTAAAATCATTGAGGTTATGAAACATATTGTAAATTTCAACAGAAAAAATGTTTTGAAGCCAAAAGACATTTTATTGTGCAGACTTTCCATAGCTATATTATATTTTTATTTCCTCTGTGTTCAACAGTGGATGACTCTTGAGTTGATATATATATGGCTCTGATATATATATGATATATATATAGGAAACAAAGGAAATTCACTTAAGGGCAGCATCAGGTGGATACAGTGAGTATGGGAAGATATTTTTTGTTTTAGCAAGAAAGTTTTAAATAGGTGATAATCTGTATGCTACTGATTCTTTGAATAGCAACACTATTTATCAGCCATAACTGAAATCTCTGCTAGTGGATACACTTGAATAGATGTCATATTAGCTGAACGGCTAGTGCCGTGAAACATTGCTGGTATTTTCCATATTCTGTTCCTGCAATTGAATAAGCAATCTGCATAAGCTTTCTTGCTTTTTTAAATATTTTATTATGGCTTTTAGCATGTAATTTAGAATAAAGAACATTATACTTTAAACTTTATTTAATACTAGCTGAAGTACCTGATGTTGGCCCGGCTTTGCGCTGAGTGAAGAGGTTTCATTTAAGCGGATGGGGGTAGTCTTTTCAAAATCTCAGGCAGACAGTCAGTTTCCTTTTATTTTGCTTCAAAGTTAATTGTGCAAAACTCAATAAAACTGTAGATTTTAATTAAGATAGAAAACAAACTTTATTAAACCAAAGGGGAAATTTGCCCAGAAGGGCTATTAATTTTGTTTTGGCATTTTGTATTGATTCACTATAAATGGCAAATCACTTTTCATTTTTTTATTGTTGTTGCCACCAAATATTAGAGCCTTGTATTATATTTAAAGAAATTAAATAATGAATAATCTGCATAATGTATGTATGTTTCTCACATTGTAATAAAATAACAGTACCTAAAGCATCAAATTTTGAATAATGCACGTTTCCATCCGAATATGGGCATCTGAAAGCCCAAATTTAGAATTTGCAATTTGTTTTATTACCTATTTCATATTTTGTAAAGCATTTATGAGTTTTTGATTAAGAAACTTGATGATTTCATAGCGAGCAATGGCAACACTGTACGAAAAAAAAGCATTTTTATCTCCAGCGCACAAGACTGTGTATCGGAAATTATAAAAGACATGCTCTTATAAACATTTTTTTATGTTGCTATTGAATTGAATTTTAAGGTTTTAATTGTGAAGAACATAATATTTAATAAATAAAAACACACAAAACATTAAAAAAAAAAAAGCCCCTTTGGGCGTAATATAGAATTTGAAAACTTTCAAAAATTTTTTTTCATTATTATACTTGAAATTACTGTAGTTTCCTTATATTTTATTCACATGTTTGAACATACATTTTATTTATTTATTTTGTACCTTTTATCCCAAAGTTTGAGTGTGGACAACATTTTTCCTTTTTCCATATAAGTAAACAAATTATCCGGTGTGCCGTCTCTTTAGCAATCCATGAGAAAAATATAATGTTTCCAAGTAACACAGTTCTTTCAAATTCATGCCTGCTATACAAAGTTATTGTCCCTGTGCCTTGTTGATAATTGTAGCAAATGCAAGCCAAATGCTGTACTGCAATTACTTGGAATCTAAGGCTGTATTTAAATCTCCTGGAAGTAACAAAATCTCAGCGATGAGCACATCTTCAACTGCAGCATGCTTTGTGATGAGGTTGGCATCTATTATGTTCAGCAATAGTTTCTCTACAGTGAACCTTGTGTTCCTGCATAGCTTTGGCAGGTTGATGCTATGTAATATGACATGGGGTCTGTTATTTAATGATCCTGTGTTCTTTCAGGCATTGCACAGCTTGCTCTGATCCATTACTGAATGAATGGATGGAAAAGGGAAAAATTGTTGGACAAGCTTATTATGTAATTATAAATCAATATCTCTATCCATAGATCAATTCTTTGAAGAGTTGAATTTTGCTTA